GAGTAATCGCAGTATTTTAACCACATTCATATATATTCTGATGGGTATTACCACTTCAGATGGATCCTACTGTCTGCCTACAGTTGTGAACCATGTAACTTGAAAATGGTGCTATGCTCTTTTGTTTTTCCTTCCCTGAGGCTACTCATACAGTCCCATTATTCCAATTCTAGAGGAAAATCCATGGCTTTGAGGATCTGCTACTACTTTCTGTATTTATTACACCGGAGCAATCATTTTTCACAGCCAAACAAAGTAAAGTATGAGCTAATGAAAGTATAGTCAAAAGCAGTAAGCAGGGAGCAGCCTCAGTTAAAAGCAAGTGAAGAAATGCTAACTAGAAGAAATACTAGTTTCAAGTGTTCTGTGTATCTTAAAGGTTGCTAAATGTGTTACAGTTTTAGATATAGTAGGGTTTTTTTTTTGTTTCAAATACCTGATAGAATTAGGACTGTACATATATTATGTCATGTGCTCAGAAAAAGACAAATACCACTATAATGGTGCCAGTGCTGAAGCACAGGATTAGTGAAGTTTTTCAGCTAAAGAATCTACCATGGAATTTGGAACTGGTATATTTGTTCTCTGTGCAATTTTAGGGATGCCAGTGTGGTTTGGAAGAAAAAAACAAACAAACATGGCTTCTTCTATTTTATAAGCAGGTATTCTATAACATTTTTTTCTTCTTCTTTTTTTTTTTTTTTTAACTAACATTCTGGTATAGCCATTTATTTAGCTCAAAACCATGTCCATTTCAGTACTTCTAAATCAGTTAAAATATTTTTGTTGGGGTTTTTTTGCAAAGCTTTCTTCCAAAATACTTAGTAAGTTTGCTTCAATAATGTCAATACACTGTACACAAGTAATTTTGCCAAGATGTATTCTATTTTTATGGAAGTGTATATATGTTTTTTCTATGTTTATTTTCTATGCAGTATCTCAGAAGTATTTTACAGTTAAGTTTTCATAAAAAGTACATTGTCAGTACATTGGAAATAATCAAAATAAAGGTTCCCATTGCCTTTGAAGTTGCTGCCTGTTTTACCTTTGAAAATAAATTATTTCCTATGTGTGAGGCACTTAGCTCTAGTGCCAGTGGAGAAAGCAACACACTGGGAGCTTCTTAAAAAAATCAACGAAGAACACTGAGATTGGAACCCACTGGGAATCACAATTTTAACTGAAACTTTCTCAGTTTTTCAAACAATGTCAGAAAAAAATGTCAATAAAAGTTCTCCTATTGCAAGTGCTACGGGAGTTGAAGTATAGACTCAATTTCATGTGTTTTATGGTTTGGCTACAATTTAGCCCAAGATTAATTACTACCAGACATCAGCCGTCTTCCTTCTACCCAGCACTCAGGGTTATCACCTGCATGCAATTACATTTTCAGTGACAAAGTGCTGCTTCTCAATGGAATTCTGAGTTTATGATTTCCTACTACTAACAACCCTCTACTGAAAGCCCTACCAGTTTTCCCCTAACTACTTTTTGTTCAGTTTCCATTGCAACAAGTGAGGCAATCCTGGAAACCAAGGATGAGTTAACATCATTTTATTATCTGTACAAATAATTCATACAAGTGACAGATTTCAGACAAGGCCAGTATATTCTTTGGAAGCTTGAATTGAAAAATAAATGCAATTTATAAAGAAAAAAGTGAAAGGGAGACTGAGGAATGGCTGAAAGTGTCCTCTTTTATCTCTTTCATAGCCAGTCTCCCCAAGGAAAGAAAGCAGTTAATTTTGTCAAAAATATGGCCCAAAGATGACTGCAATGCTGAATACAGACAAAACAGCAGTTTCTCAGCTGTCGGTTTTATCATGATAAAACCGGCAAAAAAAAACAAAACAAAGCCACACAGCAGAGCAAAATAAAATCCTTAATCCAACCCCCGGAGATGACAAACAACATAGCAGGGAAAATAAGTTCCAAGCAAGGTGCTACACAACAGAGATCCATGAGAAAAATCTCAGAGAGTTCCACAAATAGGGAAAGAAATTGACAATGCAACCAGAAAGTACCAAACTACCACAACATCCTGTGTTAGTTAACACGGTCTGGTCAGATCTGCTCTTATCACAACCCTTTGAGTCCCACACTGAGCATCAAGACATGACTGCTGTGCTTTAAGCTGGCAGATGGCTGAGCACCACGCAGCTGTTCGCTCACTGCCCCCTTCCAGTGGGATGGGGGAGAAAATCAGAAGAAAAAACAAAAGTTGAACTTGAGAGTTGAGAGGAAACTATCAACTAAGACAGAGAAAAGGAAAAGGATAATAGTTATGACAATAAATATATATGAATGTATGTAACAAGTAATGCACAAGCAATTGTTTGCCAGCCCCCATCTGATGCCCAGCTAGCCCTCAAGCAGTGGAAGAGAGATGAACTCGCACCCCCTTCAGAATCCCTTCAACATGATATCATATGGCATGGAATATCCCTTTGGCCAGTGTAAGTCAGCTGTCCTCACTCTGTTCCCTCCCAGCTCCTTGGGCTCTTTGCTGCAAATGGCCTCAACTCTGTGCAGCACTCCTCGGCAACAGCTATAAACATTGGTGTGTTACCAGCATTGGTTTTCTCCTAGAACCAAAACAGCATCACACCAGGCACTTGAAGAAAACAATTTCATCCCAGCTGATACTAAGACAAACCTACAGGAAATTACACGTGGAGGTGCAGCACTTTGCAAGAAAAATTGTGCAATTCCTTCCAAATGTCAGTCCTGGCAGCAGAATAAGGCACAAAGCAGAGCCAGGGGATGAAGCCTGGGTCAGGTGCCAGAGGGAGAACTGGAAAGGTGGCACAGCCCACCATGCGTCACACAGTGGTGTCCAGGAGATAGGAAAATCACCGCCAGCTGCTTTTCTGCACTGGCTGAGTATGAAAGCTATTGAGTGCTTACAGCAATGAATCAGTGCAGAATCCATAGCATAGGTTACAGGAAAATAAGTTAGCAGGAGGGGACAGTACTCAGTACACACGGGAGTAGCCGTGCCTGGAAAGCCAGTGTCCACACGCCAAGTACAGTTCAGGCAACCAGTGCTAAACTGAGCAGATGGCCAATGAGCAAAATGCCCAGCATCACTCACACAGTGCAGCACTTACAGCCAGGCTGCTCTCAGGGCACAGAGGGGCTCTGGCACCCCGTGCCTCTGGTAGTGTTTAGTTCTGGCAGTGCCACCATGGGTGCCCTCTGGCTGGCACTGGGTGAGTTGAGCTCCTGCACAGCCACACTAAGTGAGGTGAGGGGATGCCTCCACCAGGGACCTCATCTGCCCTTCTCTTCTGTTTTCTGCAATTTCTGAAGCAGAAAGGGAAAAGCAGGTGTGGGGCCCTGGCTCTGGGTGCAAGCTGAAGAAGGAAATGAACTAGAGCAGCAGCAGATCACAGCATTATGTGAGGCTGCCCTGCTTCACACCTCCAGTATGCACACCATGACTTCCAAGCCCACAGGAAGGGCTTTGTACTGCACACCTGGGTGCAGCGAGCATGGCTCGAGGAGCTTTTCATATCACTGAGTCCAATACCTTCAGCACCAAGCAGCTGGTGCTTCACCTGCTTGCTGAACTGAGCACTCACAGATAGAGACAGAGGCAGAGAAGGAGAAATGTCCTTTAACCTCATACATAAACACAGGTTCACCTGGGAAGTTCTGAAGAGTCACATGAAAAAGGCATTAGGAGCACAAGCAAGTTCAGAGCCATTCATCATTCAGAGCAGAGACTGTCATGGTTTTGTGATTTTTGGTTTTCGGTATTCCACATCATAACATCATGTGGGGCAGTGGGAGTTTAACTGTTAATGCTCAAGCTCTGGGTACCTGCCTGGAAGAGAAGAAGAACTACATTCCCCAGGGGACTTTGCGGTCACAGAGAGCCTCGAGATACAACTCCTGGCAAGGTCACCTGATGCGCTCTTCTTTTGCCCGCTCTTCGTCGGCTCTCCCCTTTTCTCCCTGCTGCTCAACTGGACTGCGCATCTCACCTCAGCTCTCCGCGTTGTGGTGAGGCCTACCCACCTTTCGGACATTCTCTCTCTCTCATTATATTTGATTTATTAGCTTTAAATTTAATTATATTGTATTATAGTGTGTTATCTTGCATTCCGATAATATATTTTATAAATTAGTTGGTTTCTCCTCAAATCGTTGCCGCTGTTTTTAATTATTTTGGGGTCCCCTGTTCCCTTTTTCCGGAGGCGCGGATCTGCGGATCCCTCGCCCCGCTAGTCACGGAACTGGGCCGAACCAGCCCGTAAACCGTTGACAGAGACCTAAAAGCGCAGTGAGCGTCTGGGGATCTCCATCCCTGCCAGATCCCTGGAGAAACCTGGGGGCTGCAGGTCACAGCTCAGAGACCGGAGGCTGTGGCTATGACAGGCATCTATGAGCAGAAGAGTTCCTACGGCAGCCCTGGGGGGCAGAAGGATGCAGGCACATGGAACACACTGATGGAAGTAAGCTGAGCACAGAAGGAAGGAAACCCAGCCTCCACACACAGCCATTGCCTTAAGTGCTGGCACATCCTCTGCCCAGGGTCACAGTGACAGCCACAGCTCTGCATGGTAGTAGGAGCAGGGGCACAGAACAGTAAGTAGGCAGTGCTTCAGAACACCCACAGCACCTGCAGCACTGTAGGCTGCCTTGTTATCTCTTCTCAGTTTGTCCCATCTGCTACAAAAATGTTCATACATACCTTCCTTGCTATCATACCAGAGATAATAACAGAGGAGATGTAGAATTGCAATACTTATGTAGAGTAGCAATGAACTGCTGCTACCACTGCTTTTTGTCTCATAACTCTGTACCAGCCAACTAGATAATACCTGACATGAACCACAGTATCCTCCAACAGATATCCTTCACCCAGGCTGCTCCTCCTGCTCGTGAGGGAGGAGGAGAGGGATTGTGATGAGCATAGAACAGCCATGTAGTGATTTTAAAACTGTGTCCTTCTGAGGACTAGGAACAGTTTGGGAGAGCTTCTTGAGCAAAACATGCAAGAAGCAAAAACATGGTTTGCAATAGAGAGACCTTTCCTAAAAAGGGAAGAGATAACTCACACAGGGAGTGCACAGCTGTTACGCTATCAAGAAAAACTGCAAAGTGGCTTGAAATTCAACACGATGCAGCTGATGTTACTGACTAGCTTACATCTAGAGAAGACATTCAGAGAAGACATTCAGCGGCATGAGCTGAGTGTCTCTGAAGCGTGCCTTGTAAAAGCGTGCGTGCTGCCGAAGGCATTGCACCGTGGATGCGACATGCTGGGGACCCGGTGAGTCAAAGGTGCTGAGCAGGCTGTGCTGCATGCAGCCCTGTGTGGGGATTGCCTGGGAAGTGCGCAGAGAAGTGTGCTCTGCAGGCAGCTTCTGGCCTGTGGTGACAGCAAGGCCCTCTCTGGCCGCAGGGAACTGGCAGCAGGCTGCCTTTGGCAGGCACTGAAAGTCGGATGTGAATAGAGTTTTACAGAAGAATGTGATACATGAAATACCCTGAGTTTCCAAGCAAAGTCAAGGTTACTTTCCTAACAATCTTCACAAATGTTGGGCACAGGTGTTTAGCCAGGATGCCTCCAGCATCTGAAATATAGATCTAAAATGTAAGGATGGAAAAGTTAGGAGAAAATGAATTCCCAAGTAGCACAGAAGATAAAAGACTATCCTAGCTTTTTGCTGAAGGCCGGCTGATGAACAGGAGTCCTCTGATCCAGGAAGAAAATGCAGAGTGCTCTGGTACAACTATGAATGCCTGAACTGAAGAAGCAAACATCAAAAACACATGCTGGTGGGACTACAGGGGCCTCAGCAACAAACCACAGCAGACAGGACATTGACGTACCAGAAAAGCATGAGATCTGCATAGATGCGCTGGCATTTCATCAACTGGGGATAAATTTGACATGACAGAGAGCTGATCAGAAGGAGATATTGGCTGCAAAAACATTTGATTACAATGGCCTGTCACCTCCATTTTCTTTTCTGCTACAAGGAATTTGCCCTTGAATATAAACCTTGTAAATAAGCCAGATTACATTGAATTTGTTCATCCTGCCTCATCCCTGTCTGCTAACTGAATTAGCTCACAAATCTTCAAATATTTGCTAACGAACAAATTTGGTCAGACAACTCTTCTGTGTTCTGGCCTTTTTCAGAATCAAGTACTTGTGGTTTTCTTGCTGGTTCCCTTGTGATCACTCCCAGCGATGTGGACACCGATAGAGAAACTTAAATTGGGTGTAACCCTGCAAAGCCTTACCCAAAATATTACCACTAACATCTCATAGCTCATGTTTTGAAAAGTTTGGGGATGTAAAAGCATGATGTCCTTTAGCAGATGAGGCCATATCACAGAAGGGGTTATGCATTCACCAACTGCATTGCTCAGGAAGGCAGTGCCGTGGTATCTTTACCATGTACAACGCAACTTGACCGCAGACAAACAGAGAAAGCTGTCAGTGTTTTTTCCAAACAGTCACCGCAAGTGGAAGACAGCCACTGCCTTTCTAGAAAACCCCAAGACTCCTTGAATTTTAGACCTCATCTAAAAAAAATCTCTCCTAATCCACGAACAGCCCTCAGTATATACTATGAAAAAGAGCAAAAATTTCCCTCAAGTTACTTGGCTGATGTAAAATGGATATTCCTGGTAGAGATATGAAAATGATAACTAGAACAATAAGGATACATCATAGAATGAATTAATGCAGCATTAAAAACAAACTGTCTAACGAGCAGTGACTGTTTTGCTGAAATGTAGCTTTCTGTGATGGAAGATTTTTATCTGAGCAGTTAGGCTCACCAGACTCTGAGAAAGTAGACATCGGTTATTCATAAAGCTTTGTTTAAATCATATACTGCAGGTTTTGATTCCATCTTTTGTGCTACAAAAAAATTAATAGAAAACAATCAGCCTGAAAGACAAATAGCTCTATGCCAAAGATCTCTAAGCACTTAAAGAAGAACTGAGAAATCCCATACATTTTTCTTCTAGCTAAAATAAACCACATACCCTGATGGATGGATGATGGCAAAATCAAAATAGTCTCCTCAGTGGCTTTTCTCCCAGCCTTTGCCTCTTTGAACAGATGTTTTGAATACTCTGAACATCCCAGACACCATCCTCAGGTGATGTATTTAGTCTGAATTGCACTGAAGTAAAAGTTTTTTCATATACATGAAAACAAGGTGGCTATCTATGGAAAGTTACATAGATTGCTTTGAAAATAACATCTCATATTTATTTCCCTGGAAATTACAGCAGATACAATGAGAACAATAACACTATTTGGTAGAGCAGATTCTCATCTACAGAATAACACTGTTCAGCATAGCGCTCATCGTTAACTACCCATTTTTGCCAGTGATGAACAGAAACCTGCACGCCATGCTGTAAAAGCCTGCACCAGTGGAGATGACCCACTGTCTCTGTCACCACTGCTGAAATACACCACCCACCCTTCAGTGTGCTCACATGCACTGCTTGGGCTCCATAAATGTTCAGCAAACGTTGCTGAATGCCGATCGGTGCCATTTTTTTCCTGCATGGAGGAATTCAATGATATATTTTTGTTTCATACACACTTCTGAGACAGACACCATTCTGTCAGACTGCCCCTCTGCTGCCATTTGCCGCACAGCAACAGCTTGTAATGGAGTATAGGTGGGAAGGTTAAATCTCTATTGCTATCCCACCAACATCTGCCTCTGATGGGCCAATATCTTACAATAGAAAGCATTACTCTTGGAACAGCCCTCCAGATTCAATGGATTTAAATTTTATCACTCTGTGGTGGTAAATTAAGGGTAAACATCACAACATTCTGCAAAGGGTGAAAGGGTGTTGCAAAATAAAGGGACTAATGTACTCCTTGCATCTTAATCAGCTAGACAGTGAATGGGGGTAACCCATCAACTCAGTTGGTTTCAGATTAGAAAAAGGAAGAAAACAATCCTGCCCAAGTCCTGGTTTCATAACATTCCTGAAGTACTGAAAGACATTGATCTGGGAGCAAGGACTGTAGTTTTAGGTTTGCTAATAATCACTGCTATCACCTGAATTATCATAACAAAATTAATTCATATTTTTAGGTTAAGCATGAGCAACATGAACAGCACAAGCAGCACAAACAAGGCATTATTAAAAAAACTCTGCTGGCAATAGCAACATCTATGTAAGAGTTACTTGGTTAACTTTGTTCTGAAGCTTTCAACAGAGATCGTGTAGGTAGATTATTTGAATGCATCCACATATTATGCAGTGGGGTTTTTTAAAGCTGTTCTGGCCCTATTTAAGGTAATTTTAACTCGAAGGATGAACAACAGCACTTGTAGATCAGAACATCTGGTAAAAGTCTGCAATCTGCCAGGGAGTCTTGTGAAAGAGTAATCATTCCAAATAAATGTTACTGCAGTTTTACACCAAGACAGTGATTATAATAAATGTAAAAACTTTAAAAGAACAGAAGTAACATCACATCCCCAGAATCATCACTAGGCAGCCGTAATTTCTGCAGTTTGCTCACAAGTCACAAGCAAACTACTGTCCTGGCATGAGGCTAAGACTCCAGAGGATGAATGCTGTTTGCAGGACACTAACAGGGGAGAAAACAACAGTTTATCATGTTCTGTGGGTGTCTTCATTCTCCAGTGAGAACATTCTTGCATTCATAAATGAAATGAGAGAGCTACGTTTGAGACCGTTTCCATGAAAAAGTCATATCGCGATGGACTTCAAAGAACATGACCTTATTTTACAGCTGAGCTAATGCAGCTGTTGCTTTTCATTTGAGGGTCACACGGAGAGACTAACGGTTAACACATGCTTTCTCACACTCTGCTATTTAGTAATGTGATTTTGCTATAAAATACACGAACATGGAAAGCTGTACTTAAATGATTTTGTGTTATCCTAAGCTGGTATTTCAGTCAGATACTACAGCACAACATTGAAGATTGCCCTCTTTGTCTCTAAGAAGATACAAATTTAAATTTTGCTTTGATTTTGTAATTGGATTTTAAAATGACCTTCAACAATACAAACAACATCATTTCTTCTAATATGAAAGTACTGGGTGAGAACTGTTTTGAACAGCAAGAATTATTATATACGTATATTACATATTATAGATAAAATATTATATATTTTTCATATAAAATATAATATATGATATTATATTCTATATGCCTTAGCTTTTAGACTGCAGTGCTACTGACTGTTTTTTCCCACTCTCACTCTCATAGAAATCTATGTTGCTTAAATGATGAGCAAGAGAAAGCCGACAAGAAAAGCAGGAAGCTCACAGAACTGATTTCAGAGGAACAAGAGCTCCCCACTCCACTTCCTCAGCACCTAATCTAAGAATGAAACTACCCTCAGGAGGGAAGGGATTCAAGTGGAATATCAGCTCCAGTGTCAGGAAGCTGGAAAAGTCTCTTGTTGCCTCTTTGTATAATTATGTAATGGCAAAGCATTACCAGCTGCCCAAACAGGACTCTTCAGCAGATGGTCATGATACACAGCTTAGTAAATGGAAACAAATCACATCTATTTACAGTGAAGTAACGTCTCTAAAGAAATCATCCCCGCTCAGCAGTCCTGTGTGAGAATGGCAGCAGGTTAGCAGTAGAGCTTCCATCTCACTGTTTTATTCTGCTTATACAGACCAGGGCCACAGGTGAGGGGCAGCAGGAAGGCACTCCTGCATCATCCACAGCTGCTGCAGCCTTTCACCGCATTCGAAATCAGATCAGATATTAGGAAAATATCTAATCCAAAAGCTTTGGAAAAAGCTGCCCAGGAAGGTGTTGGAGTCATTGTCCCTGAAGTGTGGAGCTGGGGCACTCTGGGAGGACACGCTTTCCTGGGCATGGTGGTGATGGGCTGACAGTTGGACCTGATGATCTTAGAGGTCTTTTCCAACCTTAGTGATTCTATGAAAAAGCATCAAGCTCCACCTCAAAACTTGCCTGATGGGAAGGCTCTTCAAAACCCTCAGCGATACTGTCCTTAGGAGCCTTGTTTTGATTTCCTGCCTCATTTTGCTTACACACTGCTTAGAACTATTTGACTTTAGGCTGTTGTTTTCCTTTAGCTCCAATAACCCTCTTCAGCTCACCTTCCCAGTCCTTACTGCCTGGAGGTATTTACACACAAAAATCAAAGCCCTTCTCTGCTAGAATTAACAAGCCAAACTCTTGTAAAGAGCTTCCTCCTGCATTTTTCCATTACTTGATCTGTTATCATAGCCCCTCTTCTCACCTGTCATACTTCCAGTAC